TGCTCTAGTAGCTGGCTATTCAGCCATCAGGTGGACTAAAGCTATTCTTTTATTGATGTTTCTGCAGGTGTCAGTAACCTTGGAGACTTCAGAAATCATAAGCCAACACTTTGTGCATCCATCACGGAGGAGCTCACAGACAATCACAAAGGTAATCACTTATTTCTTCGTGTGACTGGAAGCTGTCATCAGTTACGTAAGGTCAAGGAACATATTAGCTAGGAATGTCAATTAAAGGGTTTCCTGTTAGGTTGCAAGAGGAAGCACTTTAATATTCTCACCCTTTTCTGCATTTGGGGTTGGTTGAGGGTGGTATACTGCATGATGGGTGTGCATGAGCTCTTGTGAAGATGAATATTTGTGTAGGTTATGATACTGTGATTTTTATATATATTCTTGTGAAGAAGTGACTAAAACTAAGTACATGGACATTGTAGCCTTGCACAGAACAGGAGTCATAATTTGCCTGGTGAACCTAAACTATAATCTTAAAAAACATTAGTTCTTCCAGTCCAGTCATAGATGGGTTGGAGCAAGTTGACCTTTTTAACCTAACGTAATTCAGGTAGTTTAAAGTTTCTAAAAATGCAATAAACTGGGCACGAGAATGTGATGATTTCTGATAAATCCAATATATTTTTACTTTTCTTCTTCCAGCCTGTAGGACTGTCTCCAAGTCATGATGCAACCATAATTGTGATTACATTGTGAGCATGCAATAATAGAATTGTATGTGCATACATTAACATTACTTATCCAAGAAATAGATTTTTAAGGCTATATTAGTTAATGAACAAAATAACATTAGTAATATATTTATCAAGTTCTATAAATCAATATCTACAAGAGATAAATACTTAGTCAAGGGATCATATAGTAAATGCTTCCGCTAGTCATTTAAAATTGCACTAGATTTTAATTTCTTGATCTCATATACATTTTCCACATCTTTGATGTATCTATAATACATTATAAATTTTATATACTTTGTAGAAATATAACGAGTATCCATTATCTGAACATCTATAAGTATTGAGTATGTATTGGCTTCAAGCACACCCCCTTGATTGAATTATTTTTGCAACATAGATTGTCCACGAACCTCCTTGACCACTTACACCCCTCTATCCTTCGACAATCTTGACAACCTTGTGCTTCTCCACAACCACTAGGCATAGCGCAGACTACTCACCACTTAAAAAACAATCTGATAAAGAAATTTAGTAACTACAGGAAAACAACTCATAGGTATTGCAAATTTTTTTACTATAATATATGGTGGATGAAGGACAGTCACTCAATGGGAAGGCTAGAAAGAAATCGACTGAGGACATTTCTCATTTTGTCTTTCATGACCAAATGTTCTGATGATGTGGCCAACTCATAATCAAGTTCCTGACATACATGAGTAATAAAAATATAATGTCCTGAAATTTACTTCTCACCCTTCTTAAGAAAAATAATCATGATAAATCGGATGGATGTTTGCATATTTGTCTTTATATTTATCCCAACAATCTCAGATGTTAGAAGAAGCTTGTAACCATTTTATCAAGAAGTCGTAATAGTTTCTTCATATGAATGAAGACAAGCCCATGAATATAAAATTTCTTGTTAGACTGATCGCATAATACCTTATACTCAAAAGCTCCATCCTAAGTGAAGAAGCTCATAGAACCTTGGCAAATTCATTGACTGTTTATCCAGTATACTAGTTGTTACCCGTGCGATGCATGAGATTAAATTAGTAATCTTGTATATATTAGACTTTTGGGTAAAAAGAGAGGTAAAAATAATATTTTTGGAAATAGAGAACAAAATAAAGGAAAAATTACTTCTAGGCCCCAAATTTATATTTTTAATGTGCCCGAGCCCTCCTACTTTTTTTAATGTTCTTTAGCCCCTCCTTTTTGAAAAAAATATGTCTAAGTCCCTCCATCACTCCTCCATCATGATTCCAGCTCATTTCATCAGTTGATTAGACATGCCAGCTCATGATTAGACATATCAGCTGACTTAAATCCCGAATTTACCCTCCTCTTTCTCATGTCAGTGGATGTTAACTCTTTTCTGTAACATGTTAACTCTTTTCTATAACATGTTAACTCTTTTTTGTAACATGTTAACTCTTTTCTGTAACATGTTAACTCTTTTCTGTAAAATGTTAACTTTTTTCCGTAACATGTTAACTCTTACAGATAACATGTTAATTCTTACAGCTAACATGTTAACTCTTACAGCTAACATATTAACTCTAACAGCTAATATGTTAACTCTTACAGCTAACATGTTACCTGTAAGAGTTAACATGTTACAGAAAAGAGTTAACATTTTACAGAAAAGAGTTAACGGGGAGGGAGGCGGGGGAGGAGAAGGAGGTGTAGGGGGAGGGGAGGGAGGCGGGGCGGGGGCAGAGGGGGAACGGAGGAGGAGGAGGGGGGTGTAGGGGAGGGTAAAATGGGAATTGTGTATGGAGTTTGCATGGGAACTTAGGGAGGGGCTTTTAATAATTTTTTCAAAAAGGGGGGGCTACAGCACATGTTTGAAAGTTGGGGGGCTAAGGCACATTGAAAATATAAATTTGGGGCCTTGAAACAATTTTTCCCAAAATAAATGATATAATATGAAATTGAAAGATGAAGAATAGGGATGTCCAAGATATGAAGATAGTGGATTAAGATGAGACGGTGGAAAAATGATTATTAATTATTACTTGTTACAGCTCTTAGAATTTGCCAAGTGGCAAAAACATGCAACAGGTTGTTACTTTAATAGTATAGTATGGATGGGTAGACGGAATGGAAGAAAGAAAATCTGAACCCTAGCTCTGGTACTGTGTAACTTCTAGGGTTTGAGATGAGGAGAGGTGAAATTTCTAAGATCTCATTGTAAGTCCTGTTTTTGTGAATATATATCAAATTAAATTACTGAATGTCAAACACAATCAAAAAAATATATCCTGCAGTAATCAACACAGTGAAGCATAAATTTGCTACTACTATACTTTGTGCTATGGTGAATATTTACATCAATGTTTTTGTTAATATGCAGGTACAGAGTGATCATCATAAGGTTGTCGCTGACATAGCCCAAACAAGCTTCCTTTTCTCAATTCCAATGGATGGACCCATGTCCTTTTCCACACCATATGTTACTGTTCAGTGGGCTCTTCGATTCGAATTCTTCACTACCCCTAAACATGTGGACTTGAAAAGGTAATGTTCTAGAGAAAGAATCGCATTTGATCATTTTTTTTAAAAGACGGTTCTAGGATTCTGCTTAAGTAGGAGTGACAGAAGGAAAAAGACAACCCTGTAATAGATCAAGGGAGGAAACTACTGATCAAAAGATTCACGGATTATGTTTCTTAGCCTGAAAACTCTGCTTTGCAGAAACATTAAAATAGTGATTCCTTTGTTGGCTTTGAAATAGGATCGGCTCAAGTACAACCTGTAAGCTTTTTGTACAAACCTGAAAACAAAGCTTCTTTCACTGATTTTGGAGAAAACCGAACACCAAAAAACACACAGGACTTTGCTGCAGGGAATTTTTTAGTCTCTGCTCCTGCACTTGCTATTGGCCGAAAACAGAGCCTGCAGGAAATCTTTGTAATCTCAGTTTTGCTGACGAATAAAGAGAAACCACAGATGAAGACAGGGGAGCCGAAAACTTTCGGTGAAGGAGTTCCAGTTTTTTTATTTACGTTCTACTAACTAGTATTCTACTCTAACTAGAATTCTATCTACTATCTTGAACTCAACTACCAATCCGGACTGATTAACAACTCACATTCTCCCCCTTAATCTGGACGAGATTCCAAGTCCCTTACTCCTAGCAGTTCTCGCATCTCGATGAACTTCACCCTTGCTAGTGCCTTCGTGAGAATATCCGCTCGCTGCTCGCTCGTGCTCACGAACTCCACTTTAATCTGTCCTCGCTCAACACACTCACGAATGAAGTGAAAACGTGTGTCGATATGCTTGCTTCTTCCATGGAAAACTGGATTCTTCATCAAGGCAATCGCGGACTTGTTGTCGACGAAGAGTGTGACCGGCTTGGGCTCACTCCCAATCACCTCGCTGATTAAACTCCTCAACCACAAGCCTTGGCACGCTGTTGCAGTTGCCGTCATAAATTCTGCCTCGCAGGATGATAATACCACTGTCTTCTGCTTCTGTGATGTCCAAGTGACCAAACTGTCACCTAGATAAAATGCCATGTCGCCTGTGCTGCGCCTGTCATCAACATCTCCCGCAAGATCACTGTCAGTGAATCCCACCAACTCTTCATTGCCTCGACCTCGTTTGTACACCAATCCGTAGGACATAGTACCCTTCACGTACCTCAAAATATGCTTGACAACCTGTCGATGCAAAACTGTAGGGTGCTCCATGTACCTACTCACAATCCCCACGGCATATGTGATATCGGGTCGGGTGTGAGTTAGATACCTCAAAGATCCGATAATGCGTCTATACTCTGTCACGTCCACCGGTGTTCCTTCAGAATCCTTTCCAAGCTTTAGCTTTGTTTCCATAGGATATTGTGTTGGGTTGCAATCCATCATGCCGAATTGACCCAAAACTTTCTTCGCATAGGCCGCCTGCCTTAATGCAATACAATCATCTCGCTGATCCACATCGATACCAAGATAATAGGAAAGTAACCCAAGGTCACTCATCTCGAACTCCTTCATCATTTGTTGCTTGAAAAACTTTATCTCATCCGCCCTCGAGCCCGTAACGATCAAGTCATCCACGTACACGCCAACAATGAGTGTATCCCCTCTGTTACTCCTTGTGTATACCGCCTGCTCCTGAGTGCATCTTGCAAATCCGATGCCCTTCATGCACTTGTCGAGGTGTGTGTTCCATGCTCGAGGTGCTTGGCGTAGACCGTAGAGTGCCTTTGAAAGCTTGTAGACCCTGTGCTCTTGATTCTTCACAACGAACCCTTCAGGTTGAACCACATACACTTCTTCCTGGAGATCACCATTTAGGAATGTCGACTTCACATCCAGATGGTGCACCTCCCACCCATTCTGTGCTGATATGGCGAGGATTATTCTGATGGTATCAAGCCTCGCCACAGGTGCAAACACCTCATCGAAGTCCACGCCTTGCTGCTGGACGTACCCTTTTGCTACAAGTCTTGCTTTGTACTTGAGAATGTTGCCTTCATTGTCCTTCTTCAGCTTGTACACCCATTTGAGACCAATGGGTTTAGAACCTCGCGGTAGCTCCGTGAGTATCCAAGTCTTGTTCTTCTCGATGGCCTCCATTTCCTTCTCCATGGCAGTCCGCCATTCTTGATCTGATGCGGCCTCGAGATAGTTCGCAGGTTCGGAACAACTCCTCTGCAGGGAGATCAATCACCTCCGTCTCTGCATAGATGTCCGCAAGGGATCGATAGCGTACAGGAGTCATCACTGCAGCTTCAGGAGGTCCGGACAGTTCCAATGCAGTGGGGCTTGCTACTTCTGCAGCAGATCCTGAACCTGCAGCAGACTGTGGACTGTCTCGGCCAGCTGTAGGTTGTTTTGTTCGGTCTGAAAACTGCCCAGATTGGCCTCTCGTCGGCTCCAATACGGCGGGGATCGCTGCTGCAATGACTGTACTCGGACCAGCACCAGTTTGTGGGCTGTTCTGGCCGGCTGCTGGCAGTCCAAACTGGACTTCCTGCTGTCCAGAAAACCGGACTGCCTGCTGTCCAGTTTGGACTGCAGGCGATGCACCGGCTGCTGCGCCGGCTGCTGTGCCGCCCGCTGTTGAGTCCCCTTCCGCTGCGAACTCTACCCAGCTGAGTGGTTCTACGTCTCCATCTGCGCTCCATTGCCATTCTTTTCCTTCCTCGAACACGACATCCCTGCTGACACGTATTTTGCTATGTTGAGGGTCGTAGAGGCGATGCGCTTTGCTTCCTTCCTCTACCCCAATATACACCATTGGCGTGCTCCGGTCGTCGAGTTTCTTGTGTGAAGGACCTGCAATCTTCACATGCGCCATACATCCAAAAACTCTCAAGTGTTCTAGGTGGGGTTTCTTACCAAACCAAGCTTCGTAGGGTGTGTGGTCGTGCAACGCCTTGGTTGGTAGTCGGTTGAGGATGTACACCGCGTGCCTCACCGCTTCACCCCACATAGTTCCAGGCATATGCATGCTCTTAAGTAGGCTTCTCGCCATGTCCATCACCGTGCGGTTACGCCTCTCCACTACACCGTTTTGCTGCGGGGTGTACGGTGCAGTGAGATGACGTTTGATGCCGTAGTCTTCACACAGTTTTGTGAACTCCTTTGACAAGAATTCGCCACCACGATCCGTCCTCAATGTCTTCACCTTGTGGTCACATGCATTCTCAACCTCTGTTTTGAACTTCTTGAAGGTTTCACAAGCTTGACTCTTGGCCTTCAACATGTATACCCACATCCATCGGCTGAAATCATCAACGATAAGAAGGAAGTAGTTGTTCCCAGCAAGTGTAGATGGGGTGATAGGACCACACTCTTTTCAGTCATCATCTTGAGGGCGAAGAAATTGACATGCCCAAGGCGAGCATGCCATAACCAAGCTGGATCGTTAATGTTCGCCATCAAACACGCCGGCTTGCAAGTCTTTAACTCTATCCTGTACAATCGGTTAGTTGAACGTGTCACCCTCATCAAGAGAGCACCGTTCCTATCAAACACCCTCAGGAACTCGTCAGCAATAACAACCTTACTCCCATCTTCAGTCATCTGACCAAGGCTAATAATGTTAGATTTCAAACTTGGAATATAATATACCTCAGGTAGTAGCCTTTGATCGCCGTTGTTGCACTGAAAGAGGATAGAGCCTTTCCCCTTGATCTCTACCGCGGATCCATCACCAAACTTGACGGTTCCCTTGATGTTCTCGTCGAGCTCCTTGAACTTGTCTCGGTGGCCGGTCATGTGATTGCTAGCTCCGTTGTCGAGGTACCAAACGTCGTTGGCAATTTGTGCCTCCCCCGCTATAAGTAAATCCGGCATCACCTTCTCCTCATTAAGCAAAATAACACTTGACGATTCCTCTAACATAGTCATCATCAAGGTTGGCTCCTCGTCATATGCACGGGTGAGATGAGCCTCCTGTTCATGGTTGCGGCGTTGCTTTTGACACTCCGACTGAAAGTGCCCGTATACTCCGCAATTGAAGCATTTAATGTTGGACTTGTCTCGACCACCGCTTGTGCTACTCTCCCCCTCCTGGCGAGCTGCACCTCCATGGCCGAAACCACCTCCTGGACGTCCTCCTCTGCCGCCGAAGCCGCCTCGGCCTGCCTGGCCGCCGTGCTCCCCTCCGCGGCCTGCTTGGGCAGCGTGGTGCTGCTGCCCGCTGCCGTGGTACTGCTGTCCGCCTCGGCCTCTTTGGCCACGGCCACGCCCACGACCGGCCCCGCGACCTCGTCCTCGACCGCTGCCATCATTGGTTGTAGGTGTTGAGAGGAAGCCTCCGCCGTTCTTCTTGCTCCTTGCTTGCCACTCCGCATGCGTCAACAATAGGTGATCGTCGACGTTGTTTCGAAAAACACGTGCCCTCTCCTCGTGGGCTTTGAGACGCCCGATCGCCTCCTCGAGTGTCATGTCGTCGATGTCCCCGAACTGTTCAATCGTGGAGACGATGGTAAGGAATCTCTCCGGTACCGCCCGAAGTAGCTTTCTGACGACGTAGTTCTCCTCCATCTCGCCGCCTAAAGCTCGGATCTTGTTGACGACTCCTGTCAACTTCGTCGAAAAATCGTCGACGTTGTCATTCTCCTTCATCCGGAGAAGTTCGAACTCGGACTTCAAGGTCTGCACCTTCGCGTTCCTCACACGATCCGCTCCTAGGTGCATAGTTTTCCACGTCTCCCATGCCTCTTTTGCCGTTTGCTTCTCTGCGATCACCATCAAAGTCTCTTCAGGAATTCCCTGGTAGATGGCCGCCAACGCCATCTGATCCTTCCTGTGTTCCACGGACGCGCCTGCCGCGGGCTCAATGGCATCCCACACGTCTTGAGCCTTCATGTAGACTTTCATCTTGATTGCCCATGAAGCATAGTTGTCCCTCGATAACGTCGGGTATTGAAGAGTGAGCGAACCCACCTTGGTCGTCATCTTCTCCGAACTCGTCATCTCTTCAGATCTTGGTTGGTACTTAGGCATACACCGCTCTGATACCACTTGTTGGCTTTGAAATAGGATCGGCTCAAGTACAACCTGTAAGCTTTTTGTACAAACCTGAAAACAAAGCTTCTTTCACTGATTTTGGAGAAAACCGAACACCAAAAAACACACAGGACTTTGCTGCAGGGAATTTTTTAGTCTCTGCTCCTGCACTTGCTATTGGCCGAAAATAGAGCCTGCAGGAAATCTTTGTAATCTCAGTTTTGCTGACGAATAAAGAGAAACCACAGATGAAGACATGGGAGCCGAAAACTTTCGGTGAAGGAGTTCCAGTTTTTTTATTTACGTTCTACTAACTAGTATTCTACTCTAACTAGAATTCTATCTACTATCTTGAACTCAACTACCAATCCGGACTGATTAACAACTCACATCCTTCGTGCAAATTTAGCTTACCATTCAAAGTGGCAGGTATGAGCATCCGCTTCTTATTGTGGAGAGGGAAAAGGGGGATTGGGTTCTTCCAATTACTGTGTTTGCACCCTCACCACGCTCCAACGCAGCGCACTTGAAGAGTGAGAATCTATCTCTTGGAAGCTTGTGGATACGGACATGAAGGTTAAGGTTAGCTGCAACTTATTCAAGTCCACAAGCCAAAGTTACATGCTTTTCTTTGACTATGACTGTTTTTTCTGATTACTTATAGGTTTCTATCCATATTATATACTTTGTTTGCAGTATCACTTAGTTTAAATGCAATGGGCATCCTTAACCAAAAAAATTGTACAGTTAAATTTGGTTGTCCAAGCAGGCTGTATCTGTCAGTTTTTAAATAATGACTATGGTTGTTTTTATCTTTTGCCCTTGTATGCTTAAAAAATTTGAAATTTTCCAATAAAATTTTATTTTTGTGAGGGTTCACAATCTTCTATGGTTCACTAGAGACCCACTTGACCATGTTCATCCATAACAATGCCAATGTAGCTGTAATTACTTTTTTTTTTTCATGAAATATCGAGTTTACTATCATTTGATGAGCTTATTTATAATTTCCATGTTTGATTTGTGGCATGATAAGCGTTCATCAAAGGAAGCTTGCTCCTTTCGAGTCTGTAAGATGGCACTTCTTTGAAGAACAGGGAGACACTTCTTCCTGTATTATGCAACCAACCCAGGCTCTCATCACAAGCAAGTGCTATTATCGACACTTTTCATGGAGGAATGCTTATGTTTGATTCAATCTTCCTTTTTTCTCAGGAAGAAGACCACGTTACCACGTTACGTAAGCTTTCCTCTGTCAAATGAACTGCAATTGAAGTTTCTCTTTCCATTGCTATCCTTTTCACGGTTCCTCAAGAATGGTGAGATTATTTTTTATAAATCTTCAGCAGTTATGATCAGAGCCCTTCCGTTTTCTCTGTACTCAAAGTATTTGGCATTAGGTTTTTGAGAATAAAACTAACATTATCATGTTCCATTCAACCATCCCTCTGGCATATACCGGATTGAACTTCCTCTTGATGTTCCGTAACAGTATACTTGTGGTGATACTTGTTTCACGCACCCTCTTTACCATTCCGAATTCTGGTGTTGCTTGTAGAACAGGATTAATCTTCATCCCAAGCTTAATTTGTATATATATATATATATATACACGCGCGCGCGCGTACGGATTTCATGTGGATAAAGCATTTGGAGGTGAATCTATACCATTCTCGGTGCCGACCCGACTTGGGTTTAATTATGAATATTTCTTTTTTTAGCAAAAAATAAATGCGCTTCGGGCAACCAGGTATTCATTCGAAGTCTAAATTATGTATATCTTTATGTTTGCAATGTTGTCCTGTATGATGTTTACCATTGTACAACGC